CTTACACTAAACATTAGTGAATTTGGTAGTGCCACTTTGATAAAAGCAGCCCGGATTCGGAATGACAGCCGCATGCTATTGCACATTGATGGACGAGACACTATAGCTATGGAGATCAAGTATCATCGATCGTGCTACAAAAATTATGTCCACCCAAAGCAACTGGCTAAGTTAGAAGAGCAGAATTGTCAAGAAGAAGATGCTGGAACTGAGGGTTATGACAGAGCATTTGGTAAAGTCAAAGAATTTGTTGAAAAAGAAGTCATCGCTGCGGCAAAAGCCATTCCGATGTCAACCCTTATTGAAAAATACACTTCCTTCCTTACCGAAGAAGGAGTAGATGTAGTGACGTACAGGTCCACTAAGCTGAAGAACCGGCTTACGCGTTTTTTTGGAGAACGACTGTCCTTTCATCGACCTTCGAACCAAAACCAATCAGAATTAGTCTATGGTTCGCACGTCAAAACAGGAGAGGTGGTAGAAACTGTGTTCAAGAGTACTACGTCTATTGATGAAGAGCAAATGGCAAATAGTGACAGTGAGCCGGATTTAACAAACGCACAAGACGAGGTAAGCCGTCAAGTTTACCATACGGTTAAAACAATACAAAAGTTAGTTGCCAACATGAAACCAACAATGCCATGACCACCATCATCAGAAGATTTAGAGTGTGAGATTGAGATGGTACCTGTTCTGCTCTACAATATGATGGCATGGATTCTACCAACAAAGTCCGAATATTCTGTTGAAAGAGTCTCAGACATCTCACCGGAGGTCCATCGCCTCGCCCTCTCTCTTTCTCAGGATTTGATACATTCTGCCTCTCGTGGACGAATAAAAACACCAAAACATGTCGTCCTTCCGATGACTGTAAAGAGCCTGACGGGGAATGTTGAACTGATAACTATTCTAAACAGATTTGGACATGGTTTATCATACTCTCAAATAGAGGAAGTGGAGACAGCTCTGGCAGAGATGCAGATTGCAAAGCGACAGAATGGGGTCTTTGTACCTAGTGTCTGCTACCCTGATGTACCAGGCGTTTTCTGCTGGGATAACAACGACCTACAAGAGGAAACCTTGTCAGGTAAATTGTAGTCCAAATTGAAAGTAAACTGCTTATACACTTTGTTTCAGCGTATGAGAAAAACGTTTCCAATCTGTAACTAGAAAAACTATGAAAAGTAGTCTTAAAGTAGACTTAAATAGTTTCCGTTCTCGACCAATTGGTTAGGTAGGTTAAAATATCAACCAACTGCCAGGATTTGTAGTATTGATTTAAGTCCTTTTTAGTATTGATTAAGGCACGTTTTTACATCAATATTTCTTCTATTATTTGCTCTGCAGGTAAGGGAACGACTCATTGCACTAATGGCATTGTTATTCAACGCAAACCTCTTAGCTGTGCTCTACCACCTGAAACTTCCAATAACCAGAATCGCTCCAAAAAACGTTCTATTTCCTGCCTCTCTACTGACGTACTTCCATATCATTCGAGACCTCGACAGGGACCTGATACGCTCGAAATTGATCTTACCACCATTTAACAAGCCTCCCCGGAAATTGCAGCTTATGCACGGGTCATCGACTTTGGCTGGATACTCTGCAGAATGCCGATCAAAGACACGCTATTTTCATTGGAAGACAATCAAAGGCAGGTTATACCAGCGTTGTCGGGCTTCAAAATCAAACTACGCGAGGACAGTGTCCCACGTGAATGTTCAGTTGGCTATTGCCAAGTTATTGAAGCCAGTCCCACAGAACTTCCCACAATGTATACAGTGTTGCAAAGATCTTTACAAATGGCTGACCAGCTAGGGCAACATGAAGTAATCGTTGTTTTCGATCAAGCGATCTACGCAAAAGCACTTGAAGTACTATGGCAGAACAAGGACCAGTTTCAGCGATCGGTTGTCCGGATTGGCTCCTTTCATACCATCTGTGCCTTCCTTGCTGCTATTGGCAAGCGATTCGGAGATGCCGGCCTTGCAGATGTTTTGGTTGAAAGTGGTATCGTGGGCTCAGGATCTGTGGCTGGGGTTATTGAAGGTCGTCACTACAACCGAGCTGTACGTACACATAAGGTACACATAGCTTGATTAGGTCTTTATAGAGCTGAGTGGATAATATCTTGATGATTCCTACTGGATCATAACTTCACTTTCAACTTTTTTAATCGATGCTAGTAAATAAAATAAACAAATTTTTTGAACCTTTTGTTATTTTAGATTGTGTTTGAAGCAATGCACCGACTACAGTGGATGGGTTTCAAGTCATGGCTGCAACGTAGTGGTCACCGTGGCAACCGCATGATCCTTGTCAGTGCCATAGAGGACATCCGCAAAGAGTTTAGCACAGAGAAATTTAACAGGCTGCTGTCCATGCCGCATTTCCTAGAAATTTTCAATCTTTACAAGGAATACTGTAAAGAAGACAATGGTCCGCTAAAGGTGTTTTGGAATAGCTACCTGGAGATGGTGGAGGTGCTGATAAATTTCGTAAGAGCAACCAGGGAAGGGAACTGGGCCATGCATCTTGAAGGCATCAAGGAGATGCTACCATGGTTCTTCGCCTACGACCATACTAATTATGCTCGTTACCTTCCAGTGTACTTAGCCCACATGATGTTGCTACCAGAAACTCACCCAGAGGCACATACCCTCCTGTTAAATGGTGATTTTGGAGTCCAACGAACAACATTACATGGATTTTCACAGATACCTGTAGATCAAATAATTGAGCAGACCCTGAACAGAAGCACTAAGACAAAGGGAGGAATTGTTGGGTTCAGCCTGAGGAAAGGTGCTGTACAGCGATGGATGATTACCGCTCACTCCAGTGCTGCTTTCTTAGACAAGTGTCGGAAGATGACAGCAAATGTTCAAGAAAGCCAACCCAGACTGCACAAAGAGGCAAGCCCAGCTCGCATGAAAAGAGATGAAGACGACGTAAAGAAAGTTTTCGAAGTAATCAGCAACTGGCGCAACCCGTTTGAACCATCTGAGGAACTTCTTAGTCTTAGCTCTGGGTATGTTGCCAGTGAAAGTATGAAGGCCGACCTGCTCCTGGCAAAAGAGAAGGGCACAACAGCTTTGACGGCCTTCGTAGAAGAAAGACTGGTGACAAATTCAACAGGAGTCTTTCAAACACTCCCCAAACTAAAGCTAGGAAGTTTCCGTGATGCACAGAAGAAGACCTCTGTAACAGCAGGAGACAGGAACTTCATAATCAGAGCCGACAGGAACTTATTTGCCCACCTCCTAGTCATTGGACAGAGTCGCCAGATGGACCTCAAAGATTTGCTGAGTCACGAGCTTGGTCCCCTTCCATGGTCGCTGGCTTCATGCGATGGTTCATTAGCCAAGACAAACAAAGCAATTCTTTCCAAGCTACTCGAAAATGGAGTAGAATGCCTGCCGACTTTACCTGATCTGACAACAGCTGTCATCATAGACGCCATGGTGATGCTGCAGACGCTAGTAAGGATACCTGATAGATTTTCTGAGCTGGCAGACATGGTGATGACCAGAATTCTGATAGAGGCTGGAGAGGCAGCAAGAATCGACTTTGTAGGAGATCAATATCCAGCTAACTCAATTAAAAACACCGAGAGGAACAAGCGAGGCAGAGATGGTGAGATAGTCATCAACATTACCAATGGTCAATAGTTCTGCCCTCGTCAGTGGAGAAAGTTCATGGCAAAGGGAAGCAACAAAACCGGTCTCTTAAACTTCCTTGCACGTGAGTGGTCACAAAATGCGGTTTACGCCGAGAAAATCAAAGAACGCACTCTCTTTATCACTCATGGAGACAATTGCACCAAACTCTCCGCCTCTGATGGTACAATTACTGCATGCACAGTCTTCGAACTTTGCAGCAATCAAGAAGAAGCTGATACAAGGATGCTTCTCCACGCAAATCATGCTTCTCAAAATGGACATCAGCACATTGCTATAAGGTCATCTGATACAGATGTAGAAGTTCTAGCTTGCTATTACTAAGCTGTCATTACTGCTGACATAACATTGATCAGCGGCACTAAAAGCAGATCTCGCATTGTGAGTATCCGACAAGTATGTGAAAAGCTTGGCCGAGAGATATGTGAAGTACTTCCAAGCCTACATGCCATAACCGGTTTTGATAGTGTCAGTGCCTTTGCTACCAAAGGAAAGAAGAAAGCACTTGATATTGTACAGTTGAATCCAGCTCTGAGGCAAATTGTCAGTAGTCTTGGTGAGAGGCTCCCTCCTAATGAAGAAGATTTAAAGAAGATGGAACGATTTGTTTGTGCCTTGTACAATGATCCTAGATGCAATGATGTAAACGAACTCAGGTACAAGTTGTTTTGCAAAAGAAAAAACCTGCAGTCACACCAGCTTCCACCAACCAAAGGAGCTCTGACATACCACCTCAAGCGTGCTAACTATCAGGCCTTCCTCTGGAAGCATGCCCTAGAGACACAAACGGACCAGGCGCCCGATGGCCATGGTTGGCAGATGAAAGAAGGCCAACTGGAAATCTACTGGACTAACCAGGCACCAGCCCTCGATGCTGTGATGGAGCTTGTATGCTGCGGCTGCAAAGGATTGTGTCAAACACGACGCTGCTCTTGTGTTGGCAATGGTCTTCCCTGCACTGAGGCATGCTAAGATAACTGTGTCAATTGTGTTAGCAAGGAAGATAGTGAAGAAGATGATGATAGTGATGACAATACTGATGTTCATGATAATGATGACGATACCGAAGATAAAAATGACAGTTAAATTCAGATTTGGTGACACTAATTAGTATCGGCTGTCTAGTTGACGTATTTAAATCTATGAGTTGAATGATTACAAAAATGTAATTTGATCGTATGACTTAAAAGTAGTTTTTGGTCAGAAAAAAGCCAGTTGTGAAATGGAAGGCCAAGTCATGAGGATGTAAGGATCTTTTGAAATCGCAAATGCTTCGATGGTCATCATCAAAACAAAAACAGTGTAATATACGTGTATTAGAAGTTCAGTAGGCAACCGTTGCCATGGAAACAGTATAAACAGCTACTGTGATGCATAAACTTTTAGTTATCATAATAAAAATCTGCAAATTTCATTACAAACTCATTTCATCGCGTTCGTTAGAACGCATCCTAATCTGGTGTTCCTGTGGCACTAAGGCAGAAATTATCGAGCTATCTCGGGCGACTGCAGATTAGCCGCCCCTATTAATTTTTTAGGGGCACCTCGGCCCGGAAGCTGGACTTCTTTTGACTGGAGGAAGTTCCGTAATTTTTCCGTAAGTGACGAACGCTGATCCGTAATCAATGATTACCACTAGTTTCTAAAAGATATTAATGTTTAGAGGTCACAAAGCTCTTCCCCCACCCCACCCCCAGCTAAATTTGTATTTACCTGCAAGGGCTTCAGTTATGCAGTATTCCCGAAAAATGCCAGGCCAGTAAGACCAAACATTTCTGTGCTTCCTTCTCAATTCCTTGTTTTCAAAAAACACTCACTAGTACAAAGTACACGGTTAAAGTGAGAAGAGTATCCCAATGCGCTTTTTAAACGTTGACGGTTGTCATGGCAACTAAAGAAAACATATTCGATGAGTTCGTTTCATAAAATACGGTGAGGTTAGTATTTTTGCCCAGTTTGGTGTAAAACCGTTTGGCATTTACACAGAAAGTTATCTTTTGCTATTCTTGTACATTTGGGAAGCGCAATTTGTCCTTACCCACCCCCCCTCAGAAACAGTTTATTTTCTCACTTAAGCACAGGTTACATAAAAAGTAACAGGTAGATTATCAAAATATGGAAATCAAGCTTTAATTTGATACTAAATTCACTATGTCTTACGGGGGGTGCTAGGAAAATTGATTTTTAGCCACATTTCAGGACTTGGCTCATGGACTAATAAGCAACACAGCGTTGCAAACGGAGTAGTTTTGTTATTTTCGGATAATAGAAAGCCTGTCTTTCTATTCAGCTGTTCTATTACGATTTGTACCCATGTTATTTTCGAGAGAAAGTGATCAGTTGCGATATTCTTCACATAAAGCCTGTTTCCAACTCAGCAACTCAGCTGGATTGCAGAAAGGTATGTTCTTCTTGGTTCGTTTTCTAATAACTTTGCGTAAGCTTAAAACCTCAAAGATAAATCTAAAAATTTAAGATGCATGCACAGATATGCCATTGATTGATTCCTTTTTGTTTACTGCAGAAATAACTGTACTCTTTGTTGCGCATCGTCTTCATTAATGGAATAATCTTAAGAAGCCAGATCTTGAGCTATGCAGGCAAACATTTCTTTTACACCAAGTCGGTGATGTGACCTTTGCATGTCCATAATTCAGTAGTCTGGCTTGTTGTACAGCTGAGGGGACAGCACTTGACGAAGCAGTGGTCACTAATTTATTATTTAATATTCTACTACATTTCAAATGACAAATGATTTTCCTTTTGACATTTTTACAGTCAAAAACTCTTGTTTTACATCTACACATAATTATGGTTCAGTGATATTGTGAAATCTTAATTTTGGTTCATTTTACGAGTGACGGCACAAGTTTGCCAGATCTTGAAGCATATGTGTCATTCTGAGTGACCACTGTATTATTGTTCCACATTTAAATGACAAGTGATTTTTCTTTGGCAAATTGTACCATCCAAAACTCTTATGGTTTATACATATGGTTCAGTGATATTGTGAGATCTTAATTTTGGTTCATTTTGCGAGTGACGGCACTTACCAGATCTTGAAGCCTATGTGTCATTCTGAGTGACCACCGTATTATTGTTCCACATTTTAAATGACAAGTGATTCTTCTGTCATAAATTGTACCATCCAAAACTCTTATGGTTTATAAATATGGTTCAGTGATATTGTGAGATCTTAATTTTGGTTCATTTTGCGAGTGACGGCACAAGTTTGCCAGATCTTGAAACATATGTGTCATTCTGAGTGACCATCGTATTATTGTTCCACATTTAAATGACAATACCTCATTATTTATACCTTTTTTTTTACAGCTCAATGATGTTGAGGGATCTTTGTTAGTTCATTTTGTGAGTAAATGCTTTTGCTTTATCATGCCAAATAACGCAATTAATTAATTATTGTTCTAAGCAACATGTGGGTTCCCGTAATGATGTTTCTCAGGTTCTGTCTGACCGGTTTTACGGTTTATGTGTACAGGAGGCTCGATTTCCGCCGTCTCCCGGGTCCGGTCTTTGATCCTCTCCGAAGAGAGACGGCTGGACGCGTGACCCGCTGACCTTGTCTGTGATGTAGTTGGAAAATTGATAATTTAGGCGTCTCCGATGTCACTGGAAGTGAAACCGGTCTCCAATTTTCTTATTTATTTGACTCAAAATTGCATTAAGCGCTCCCTTACCCACCCAAATGACTTTCGAAATAGCTTTTTCGGTACGTTTCCATGCATTGTGAAAAATAATCCTCGGTACATTTCTGTACACTCTGAGATGCAGTTAATTTTCTTTGATCTTCGAATATTGGTTTAGTCTTCTGTGGGTCCAAACTGACTGATTCTTGGAAGCGGACCAAATTAAATGGAAAAGTTTCTGATTTACCAGACAGAATTTCCAGCGTATTGAATGTTCCTCTGTCTAATATAGACATGGACGGTTACATCTGCAACGAACGCAGTTATTGAGACCTAAAGCGCCTTGACAAGATTCTTGAAGATGCAAAATCTCTCCAACGACAATCATTAAAAGAAAAGTTCACAACAAACAATCGAACAAAACATTGCGTTCCTTCTGACTCTAGAATTTCGCCTAGTGTCTCCGGGCCGTCGAAATCGCTTCACCATGCAATTGTTCAAGGGAGGACTTTCTGTTTTGATGTGTTAATTTCTGCGACAATCTTTGCCAGACAAAAAACTGCAGGCGGTAACATGATTGGCTTAAACCAACAAAGGAAATCGCGCGCGTCCAGCCGCTCTTTCGGGGGATGAGTGCGGGGCTCATTTTCCCGAACAGCGGCTGGTATTCGAGCCTCCATGTGTACAGTTGAGTCACGGCTGTGCTCTATAAGAGCCTGGTGACCTGTGGGACACTATCAGTTCTGCTCTTGAATGACAGGGGAATTAATTTATTTGAGTTTCTATTTACACTTGAAAGAGTCTAAATGAAACAAATTCAGATTCCACAGAAAGAGGCATTTCTGCTTTCTACTTTGACATCTGTTCCAAAAAATATATATATATTTAATATAAAATGCAGGGAGAAATTTTTCTCACAAATTTCCTCAAACTGTTCCTTTGATCAAGAGAGTGTTTTCAGCTTTTAGCATTGTGTCATTGTTCGGCAACCCAATCATTTACACTCAGTATCAGCAGTACATGCTTGTTTACCAACTGTGGGTTACTTGTTGGCTGCTAAATCATGGTTCTTCATTTTTCTTTCAGAAAAAAAATTAGAGGGCCAATATGCTCTGACGGAGTCAACTAGCATCTGTTAGTCACACAAGGACAAGTACCTTGCATGTATGTCCGTTGCATTTATGTCATCAGAGGAGTCTTTGTCTGAAACAGCTGTATCAGAATGGCATGAAGGTAATTCTTCAGGTTCAGATGAGGACCTCCAAAACAGGGAAAATCTCTGTGTAAGGCCACTTTCCTGGCAGAGCATTGAGGTTAATGGTTTAATGACCCGGTTGGGCCGCAAAGTTGCATGGTGTGAAAGCCAATGAAGTGAAAATAATGGTAATAGAGCACACAGTGAGACCAGCATCAAACCAAGGAGCACCAGATGGTGCTCCTGAGTTTGCTCTGGCACCCACCACTTACAATAGAAAAAGGAACTTGATCATAAGCATAACACAGATAATTTTTTGAAGAACATTCAGAAAAGAAGAAGGCATTTTAGATAATAATGTACAAAATAATAATAACACTCAAGTTGAAGTTGACATGCATCATGATTCAGTTCCTTTTCAGTTTAGTTCCTGTAACTATATTTTCTCAGTAGACAATTGCAAAATTTTTTGGGTTTTGATGAAGACCTACAATATAGTAAGTGAATATCCTTTGACACCCATGGGAAGAAGCCACATTAAAACTAGGTAAATTACCAAATCTCAAAGTGATTTGTCACAATCCAATGAAGATATTGCCTGTGTTGCAGACACTTTAAACCTTCTGCATAGAGCATGACGTCTGAGAATATAGTGCTCAATATCATGTTTGAATCCCATAGAGTCACAAAGACATACATGTATGTCAGCGTTTCTTGATTGGCTAGGTTCTTATGCTGTTTGTTATTAGTCCGATTTGAAATAAAGTGTTGACACAAAGTCACATAATCTCAATAACCTTTGTAAGGTACGGCGGAGCCACAAACTTTTCCTTACCAGACAAATGTCTGCAAAATTTGCGATCTTTGTAGAGCTGTCTTTGGTAGTTTGCACCGAATCACTCTGTAACTTGGCAACTTTACTGAATTTTAAAAACCTTCTTTCTAGTAGCCTGTAAATGCAGCTGTATTTTCAGTCGTTGTGTCCATTCACCCAACATATGTAATTGGAGATACATCTGCATCCACTTTCCACAGTGGTGACAGATCCTAGGGCTACCCTAAGCACTGCCTTAAAAACGGCCACTCCGAGGACTAAATCTAGCCAATACACACCGTGGTAGAGTAATTACCGGACTCCAAATGCCGTGATCCTATTTTGTTCTTTGCATATTTTATGAAAAAAAAAGTGCAGTTATGTTTTATGCAAAAAAAATACTGTGTGATAACAGTTGTTTGATAAGCATGCAAGGCTGTGCTCTAAGGAAAATACGATGTCCAATACTGCAAGCAAAACAGCTGATCATGTGAATCAGAAAAAAATTCTCAAATTTTTAATATAAGTATTTAACCAAATCAGTGGATAGCAGATTTGCTTCCATAACTTGAAAAGCTTTTGGCTACCTATAGGATGAGAGTAAAACTGGGGTGTCATTTCATGCTAGTTTTAGAAGTGTAGCAGTAAATGAAGCACCTGTAAGATAAAATACATGTACAAAAAGGTGACAAAATGAATAAACTGCTGGGTAAAAATATATGGAAGTTGTACCCAAATCATAGAAATACACAGAGCTTTCGCATAGTAACACATTTTATTTACAAGAAATATTTTTATATAACTGATTTGGTTCAAAATGAATCATACAGATGTATCTCACCTTGGGGTCAGTGAATAGCACTAGATACACTATATAATATTATTCATCATATTATTTTGGGTAGTGAGTACTTATAAAATGATGCCTTGGGACTCACTTTTCCAACACTTTTTTCTATCATTTTCTTGATTAAAACCGTCATTTGAAATAAATTTCTGGTTATTTCCGTCATATTTCTTTGTACTCTTTCCGTCATTTATTTCTGGCTCACGAAAAAATAATAAAATTCTCAAAATGTACAAATATAAAATAGAAAAAAATCAGAAAATTATTTAAATTGGATGAAACTTAATCGCTCGCTCGTTTTACTCGCTCGCAGAAAATGATAGAAAAAAGTGTTTGAAAAGTGAGTTCCAAGTAATCATTCTATAACTACTCTATAAATGATTCGAGTCAGAAAAAATAAAATTGAAATTTAAAGAAATAAATATAATAATTAAGTAAATGGACGCTGACTTAAACAATCTTTCTATTTCTGAATTAAAAAAGATAAAAAAGGATAATCAGCAAAAACTTAAAAAAGAGTACGAAGAATTAAAGAAAAAGCAAAAGTTGATAGAAGATATAATAAAAATACAAAAAAAAGAGAAAAAATAAATAAGAATCAAAAACCCAAACCTCAACCCAAACCAAAAATCAAGACATTTGAGGATTATTTCCAAGAGTGTATTAAAAATAAAAAAATTCCTCCAGATACTCCTCCCTATTTGCGAAAAGCACTTGAAAGGGCAATTAGGGAATATAATCAAGGAATAGAAAAAGAAAAATCATCTCTTGACTATTTTGCCAACAAATACGTTATCAAGGGAGAATCTGGTATTACTCCATTAGAGTATTTTAGATCTAAATCCTCTTATTTAAAAGAATTCCTTCGAAATCATCGTTACATCAAAGTTAGATTTATTTTAGTTTGTTTAATGGAAAAAATGGACAAAATATCAGAAATTAATGTTAAAGTTCAGTCTAGAGCATATTTTCAATCCGATACTCATATTAATCTTGAATCAACTGATGTAAAAGAAATGCTTGCTAAAGTTATTAAAAAAATCCTTGGAGATATAAGTATATTTCAACATGAAGGTAGTGGGTGGTATTTTAAAGAAGTTATTCATTTATAGATTCACACTGTTGATTACAAACCAATGAGAGGAGGATCTTCTTATATTCCTCTTCCTGATTGGATTATGAGAAAAAAGGCTATTGTGAGTATCCGTAACAGTGATAATAAATGTTTTATTTGGTCTGTACTTCGTTATCTTTATCCAAAAGAAAAGAATGATTGCCGATTGAGTGATCTCAAAAAGCATGAAAACGAACTTAATACAAAAGGAATTAAATTTCCAGTCAAAATAAAAGATATCTCAAAGTTTGAATCACTTAATCCAGATTTACCAGGAATAAATGTTTTTTCTGTTAATGATAACAAAAAGTTTTATCCACTTAGAATGGCAAACAAAGATCCCCAAAACACAATAGATCTTTTTCTTTATCAACCACCAACAGGGGGTCATTATTCACTTATTAAAAACTTTTCTCGTCTTTTTCGATCACAAATTACAAAAAGAACAAACTAGCCCATACATATTTGTAAGCGATGTTTTACTCATTTTACAAAAAAAGAATTAATATCAAAACATATCAAATATTGTTCATCTAATGAAACAGTTGCTGTAAAAATGCCTCCAAGAAATACATTTCTTAAGTTTGAAAACTATAATAAACAATTTCCAATTCCTTTTGTAATTTATGCTGATTTTGAATGCTTTACTAAACCAATGAGTAATTGTTCACCAAATCCAGAGGATTCATACTCTTATAATTATCAAAAACACGAACCATCAGGTTTTTGTTTTTATATCAAAGGAATAAATCCAGATATAAAATTTAAACCAATTATTTATACCAAGAAAAATCCAGATGATGACATTCCTCTTATTTTTGTGAATAAATTAGAAAAAGTTGCAAATAAAATTTATGAAGATTTTTACATGAGACCAAAAAGTATTAAGATTACTGAAAAACAATACAAGGAGTACAATAAATCTGTAGTTTGCCATATTTGCAAAAAAGATTTACTTCCTGAAGATAAAGTTTGCGATCATTGCCATTTTACTGGGAAATATCGTGGACCAGCTCATCGTAATTGTAATTTACAATGTCGTAAACCAATGATAATTCCAGTTATATTTCATAATCTTCAAGGATACGATGCACATTTATTTATTAAACAGTTATCCAAAATAAAGGGTGATTTTACATCTATTCCTTCAACTGAAGAAAAATATATTTCTTTTTCGAAAAAGGTGAAGGTTGATGAGTACCAAAACAAAGATTGAAAAACCATATCATTAAATTTAGAATTAAGATTTATAGACTCATTTAAGTTTCTTCAAACCAGTCTTGCCAATCTTGTAAAAAATTTACAACCAGATGATTTTGTTAATACTAAAGAAATATTCAGGGATAAAATAGACCTACTAACTCGTAAAGGTGTTTATCCATACGATTATGTTTCTTCTATATCGAAATTTGATGAAACACAACTTCCTCCTCAAAAAGAATTTTACTCAAAACTAAATGATGAAGATATAACTGATGATGAGTATCAACATGCATTAAATGTATGGGAAACTTTTGGGTGTAAGAATATACGAGATTATCATGATCTTTATCTTAAGTCAGATGTCCTACTATTAGCAGATGTATTTGAAAACTTTCGATCAACATGTCTCCACCATTACAATCTTGATCCAGCACATTACTACACATCTCCCGGATTAGCATGGGATGCATGTCTCAAAGAAACAGGACAAGAATTACAATTACTGCATGAATATGATATGTTAATGATGTTTGAACGTGGAATTCGAGGAGGAATATCACACATATCAAAGCGATATGCAGAAGCAAATAATAAATATATGGATAATTACAACCCTAGTAAACCTTCTACTTATATTCAACATCTCGATGCCAATAATCTTTATGGATGGGCAATGTCTCAGCCACTTCCCACAAGTGGGTTCAAATGGATGAAAGATTTAACAGTAAAAGGAGTAATTGATATATTGGATAAAAATAGAAATCCACTAGTAAAAAAAGGTTATATATTTGAAGTAGATTTGGAATACCCAACTGAGTTATGGAAAAAACATAATGATTATCCACTTGCACCTGAAAGATTAAATATAGATGGTGTAGAAAAACTAATTTGTCATTTCAAACCAAGAAAAAACTATGTAGTACATTTTGTAAATCTTAGGCAATATCTCGAAATGGGAATGATACTTACTGCAGTTCACAGAGGAATATCATTTAACCAGAGCCCATGGATGGAGCCTTACATAAGAAAAAATACAGAATTAAGAAAGTGTGCTACAAACAGTTTTGAGAAAGACTTTTTCAAACTGATGAATAATAGCGTTTTTGGAAAAACAATAGAAAACATAAGAAAAAGACAAAAAATAATACTTGTTGATGATCGTGCTAAAGCTTTAAAATTATCAAGCCGGCCAAACTTTGATAGAGCAACAATATTTGATCCCAATCTTGTTGCTATTCACATGAAGAAATCTGAAGTTTATTTTAACAAACCCATATATGTCGGTCAAGCTATTCTTGATCTTTCAAAAACACTTATGTTTGATTTTCACTATAATTATATACTAAAAAAATATTCTTCTAAAAAAACAGCAGGGAGGTTTCGGGGGGATGCAATCCACCCGGTTGAGTTGTTGTTTACAGATACCGATAGTTTAATGTATCATATTCAAACAGATGACTTTTACAAAGATATATCTCAGGATATAGAAGAAAAATTTGACACATCTGATTATCCACCGGAACATAAATCTGGGATACTGACAGGAGTTAACAAAAAAGTAATTGGAATGTTTAAAGATGAAGTAGCAGGAAAACAAATTACACACTTTGTCGGACTGAGATCAAAGCTTTACAGTTTTAAAATCGAAAACTGTAGGGGGGTTTTGGGGGAGAGCATCCCCCCCATTAGAAAGTGTAAAGGAATAAAAAAGAATGTTGTAAAAAAAGGTATAAATTTTGAAGACTATGTACAATGTTTATTTTCTGGAAAGAAACAAATGAAGTCTATGAAAATTATAAGAAGTGAAAATCATGATATATATTCAAAAGAAATAAACAAGGTAGCATTAAGCTGTGATGATAACAAGCGAAAAGTAATGGAAGACAAAATACAAACTTTAGCACTTAGATAAATAAAATAATAAATGATTTATACAAAAGAGCAGATAGAAGAATATAAAGAAATATTTTTAAAATATAAAAAACAATTAGAGGAACCACTTTTAAAAGAAGTAAGCATTTATCCAACTTGTGTTAACCCTGATTGTATTACAAACCAGCAGGGGATACAACCCCCCAATTTTTATATTGAGTCAGGTTTTTACATGTGTGAATCATGTGATTCGTCTAATGGTCACGCTCTTGGATATTATGATAACAAGGAATACGATCGATTTCATTATCATAGAAAGAGTATTTACCAGAGAAAGTACCATTATGAAAATAAAGTAAAAGATATCTCAAAAAGGTTATCATTAACTGATGATGAGGAATACTGCTTATACAATAAACTAATGGAAATAGATGAAGAAACTATTACTAGAACAAATGAACATTTTAATCGCAAAAGAATGATAAGTGTTTTTTACCTGATTAAAAAAATTCTTGAAGAAATGGGTTGTGAAAAATATAAACAGATTGGTCTTAAGCTTTCTAAACAAACATTTGCTAATTATGAAAAGTGGTGGGAATATTATAAAATTGATTTAAAGAAATAAAAGTATTAATTAATAATCATGTGGAGAAAAGGTTTAATAATGCAAAATTAGGATTTGAAATAACTTCATATATTGATGATAAACAAAATATTTGGTTTTTAGGAAAAGATGTAGCTAATATTCTTGGTTATAGTGATACTGATAAAGCTATAAGAAAACATGTTGACGAAGAGGATAAATATAAAGGACCCGTCAAAACGGCGGGTCAGGTTGATAAAGACCAAAAAAGCTACCCCGCCAAAACGGCGGGTCAGGTCAGATGGTGTACTTTCATAAATGAATCTGGTTTCTACTCCCTTGTATTGTCGTCAAAATTAGAAACCGCTAAAAAGATCAAAAAATGGGTAACATCACAAGTCCTCCCATCTATAAGGAAATTTGGATACTACAAACTTTTTGACAACCCGAATAATACAATGTTTAAGATTGAAAATGAGATGGACCTCCACTGTAAAGTTGTTCACCTAATTAGGAATTTTTATCCAGATGCTATTATGGTTCCAGGACTTGGGGAAAACCAAAATACGTCATACAAAAGAATTAACAGTTGGAAAAAGGGATATCTGCGAGGCCAACCAGATCTTATGATACTTAATTACCACAAAGATTTTAATGGTCTTTGTATAGAATTTAAATCACCAACTAATAATTATCAAATTTCAGATGCACAAAAACAAATGAAAGAAAGATATAAGGAAAATTGTTACAAATTTATTCTTAGTCATGATTATGATTATATATGTATGCAATTACATAAATACATGGCTGGTGTTCGTATTCCATGTAAATATTGCACAAAAGCATTCCTTAATAAAGAAACATTGGAAAAACATTATAAAGTTATTCATAGAATTGAGAAAAACATCTAATTTCTATATTTATAATATAGAAATTAAAGGGAGGGAAACTTTTTATTATACTTTTTAACAAATCTATCTGCCAGAGGAGTCTGATCAATTATCATTTCATCTATCAACTTCATTCGATCGATAAAATCTTGCTTTTTAAACTCATATCCTCTCAGAGCTGATCTCAATTCTACGAGAACTTTTTCATATGTCGTAAATGCAATTTGCGCCATTTCTATTTTCTTCTTGTAATTTCTCATTTTTGAAATACTTGCAACGAGCACCCCAGCGCCATTTATCACACCGAGTATTATTGGGTTTAGTGTTATTCCACCAGTGATAGTTCCTATCACCACTAATCCTCCTCCAGAAAGTGTAAGTGTTTCATCAAGCAGTTTATATCTCTTGTACGACCGCTTAAAACACCAGTATTTCTTGTGATAATGGCTGTAAAAGTCTTTTAGAGTCTTAATATCTGTTTCTGACAGAGTCCTGTCTATGTGATTAAATTCAAAGATATCCTTCATTTAATCTTTTAATTATATTCTTATTGCAGGGGGTCTTAGGGGGATGCAATCCCCCTACACTATATAAGATCCATTTAACTTTTCTTGAAGCATTACTTTGTGAAATTGAACAGAGTCATTGTCGTAAAAGTTTGGAGAATACATTAATCTAATTAACTCTCCATCTTCAGTTGTAAACTTCCAACGTTGATTAACATTGTAGTGAACGGCTGGTGTAGTTAATGTTGCGCTGTAGTTACTTATTTCAACTTTTGTAACATTTGCATCAAAATTTTCACCCAACCATAAAACAATTTTTTGACCATTAAAACTACTTGGCATGGTAAAATTTTGAGTTGTTTTACTAACAGTTAAAGTTACTTTAAAGTTTCTTTTATCATAATTTAATTTTAATAGTACATTATTGTTTGTTGATATATATTTAGTTAGGCTAAAATTTCTGTTTCGCCAATGGTAAAAAACAATACATAAACTATATTTCGAAGAATGCGATGGAGAAAAAGTAACATCGTAACCATTAACATTTAAGCCATCTTTTCTTATATCACTTAGGTCTTTATTAGGTGGTAGTGTAATATTAGGTTTTAAAGAATTAATAATAACTCCAGATGAACCTATATTTATTCCGTAACTATCCGCATCAGCAAAGTCATAAAATTCTTCAAAATATTGTCTATAAACATTGTTTGTAGTAAAAGGATAAATTTCTTTTACCATTTCAACTGTTGCAGCACTATTATTATTGTTTTTGTCAAGAGCAATGTTTAATATCTTCTTGTTATTTGCATTAATATCAACATTATAAACCACTTCTGTTGGTTTGATGTCAAATGCTGTGTGATAATCGTAAACTTTATCTGGATCAATGTTACTAAACGTTCCCATAATACCATAAGTAATTATATAAACACCTGTAAAACATTTTGGATACTTAGAGAGGTCACTTCCTACTTGAGGAATATTAACCAAAATGTGAAGAAAAAACTTATTACCAGATGACAACTTTTTAAAATTAACTATTATTTTATGGTAATACATAAATTTTTGATGATTACTTGCGTCTGTGTAACTGTGATAATGCTTACTTACACCAACATTTCCTATTGTCAATCCTGTTGAACTTCCTTTATCAACACTTATTTGAGTTTTATTCCATTTCAAAGAAACAGGACAAGAATTACAATTACTGCATGAATATGATATGTTAATGATGTTTGAACGTGGAATTCGAGGAGGAATATCACACATATCAAAGCGATATGCAGAAGCAAATAATAAATATATGGATAATTACAACCCTAGTAAACCTTCTACTTATATTCAACATCTCGATGCCAATAATCTTTATGGATGGGCAATGTCTCAGCCACTTCCCACAAGTGGGTTCAAATGGATGAAAGATTTAACAGTAAAAGGAGTAATTGATATATTGGATAAAAATAGAAATCCACTAGTAAAAAAAGGTTATATATTTGAAGTAGATTTGGAATACCCAACTGAGTTATGGAAAAAACATAATGATTATCCACTTGCACCTGAAAGATTAAATATAGATGGTGTAGAAAAACTAATTTGTCATTTCAAACCAAGAAAAAACTATGTAGTACATTTTGTAAATCTTAGGCAATATCTCGAAATGGGAATGATACTTACTGCAGTTCACAGAGGAATATCATTTAACCAGAGCCCATGGATGGAGCCTTACATAAGAAAAAATACAGAATTAAGAAAGTGTGCTACAAACAGTTTTGAGAAAGACTTTTTCAAACTGATGAATAATAGCGTTTTTGGAAAAACAATAGAAAACATAAGAAAAAGACAAAAAATAATACTTGTTGATGATCGTGCTAAAGCTTTAAAATTATCAAGCCGGCCAAACTTTGATAGAGCAACAATATTTGATCCCAATCTTGTTGCTATTCACATGAAGAAATCTGAAGTTTATTTTAACAAACCCATATATGTCGGTCAAGCTATTCTTGATCTTTCAAAAACACTTATGTTTGATTTTCACTATAATTATATACTAAAAAAATATTCTTCTAAAAAAACAGCAGGGAGGTTTCGGGGGGATGCAATCCACCCGGTTGAGTTGTTGTTTACAGATACCGATAGTTTAATGTATCATATTCAAACAGATGACTTTTACAAAGATATATCTCAGGATATAGAAGAAAAATTTGACACATCTGATTATCCACCGGAACATAAATCTGGGATACTGACAGGAGTTAACAAAAAAGTAATTGGAATGTTTAAAGATGAAGTAGCAGGAAAACAAATTACACACTTTGTCGGACTGAGATCAAAGCTTTACAGTTTTAAAATCGAAAACTGTAGGGGGGTTTTGGGGGAGAGCATCCCCCCCATTAGAAAGTGTAAAGGAATAAAAAAGAATGTTGTAAAAAAAGGTATAAATTTTGAAGACTATGTACAATGTTTATTTTCTGGAAAGAAACAAATGAAGTCTATGAAAATTATAAGAAGTGAAAATCATGATATATATTCAAAAGAAATAAACAAGGTAGCATTAAGCTGTGATGATAACAAGCGAAAAGTAATGGAAGACAAAATACAAACTTTAGCACTTAGATAAATAAAATAATAAATGATTTATACAAAAGAGCAGATAGAAGAATATAAAGAAATATTTTTAAAATATAAAAAACAATTAGAGGAACCACTTTTAAAAGAAGTAAGCATTTATCCAACTTGTGTTAACCCTGATTGTATTACAAACCAGCAGGGGATACAACCCCCCAATTTTTATATTGAGTCAGGTTTTTACATGTGTGAATCATGTGATTCGTCTAATGGTCACGCTCTTGGATATTATGATAACAAGGAATACGATCGATTTCATTATCATAGAAAGAGTATTTACCAGAGAAAGTACCATTATGAAAATAAAGTAAAAGATATCTCAAAAAGGTTATCATTAACTGATGATGAGGAATACTGCTTATACAATAAACTAATGGAAATAGATGAAGAAACTATTACTAGAACAAATGAACATTTTAATCGCAAAAGAATGATAAGTGTTTTTTACCTGATTAAAAAAATTCTTGAAGAAATGGGTTGTGAAAAATATAAACAGATTGGTCTTAAGCTTTCTAAACAAACATTTGCTAATTATGAAAAGTGGTGGGAATATTATAAAATTGATTTAAAGAAATAAAAGTATTAATTAATAATCATGTGGAGAAAAGGTTTAATAATGCAAAATTAGGATTTGAAATAACTTCATATATTGATGATAAACAAAATATTTGGTTTTTAGGAAAAGATGTAGCTAATATTCTTGGTTATAGTGATACTGATAAAGCTATAAGAAAACATGTTGACGAAGAGGATAAATATAAAGGACCCGTCAAAACGGCGGGTCAGGTTGATAAAGACCAAAAAAGCTACCCCGCCAAAACGGCGGGTCAGGTCAGATGGTGTACTTTCATAAATGAATCTGGTTTCTACTCCCTTGTATTGTCGTCAAAATTAGAAACCGCTAAAAAGATCAAAAAATGGGTAACATCACAAGTCCTCCCATCTATAAGGAAATTTGGATACTACAAACTTTTTGACAACCCGAATAATACAATGTTTAAGATTGAAAATGAGATGGACCTCCACTGTAAAGTTGTTCACCTAATTAGGAATTTTTATCCAGATGCTATTATGGTTCCAGGACTTGGGGAAAACCAAAATACGTCATACAAAAGAATTAACAGTTGGAAAAAGGGATATCTGCGAGGCCAACCAGATCTTATGATACTTAATTACCACAAAGATTTTAATGGTCTTTGTATAGAATTTAAATCACCAACTAATAATTATCAAATTTCAGATGCACAAAAACAAATGAAAGAAAGATATAAGGAAAATTGTTACAAATTTATTCTTAGTCATGATTATGATTATATATGTATGCAATTACATAAATACATGGCTGGTGTTCGTATTCCATGTAAATATTGCACAAAAGCATTCCTTAATAAAGAAACATTGGAAAAACATTATAAAGTTATTCATAGAATTGAGAAAAACATCTAATTTCTATATTTATAATATAGAAATTAAAGGGAGGGAAACTTTTTATTATACTTTTTAACAAATCTATCTGCCAGAGGAGTCTGATCAATTATCATTTCATCTATCAACTTCATTCGATCGATAAAATCTTGCTTTTTAAACTCATATCCTCTCAGAGCTGATCTCAATTCTACGAGAACTTTTTCATATGTCGTAAATGCAATTTGCGCCATTTCTATTTTCTTCTTGTAATTTCTCATTTTTGAAATACTTGCAACGAGCACCCCAGCGCCATTTATCACACCGAGTATTATTGGGTTTAGTGTTATTCCACCAGTGATAGTTCCTATCACCACTAATCCTCCTCCAGAAAGTGTAAGTGTTTCATCAAGCAGTTTATATCTCTTGTACGACCGCTTAAAACACCAGTATTTCTTGTGATAATGGCTGTAAAAGTCTTTTAGAGTCTTAATATCTGTTTCTGACAGAGTCCTGTCTATGTGATTAAATTCAAAGATATCCTTCATTTAATCTTTTAATTATATTCTTATTGCAGGGGGTCTTAGGGGGATGCAATCCCCCTACACTATATAAGATCCATTTAACTTTTCTTGAAGCATTACTTTGTGAAATTGAACAGAGTCATTGTCGTAAAAGTTTGGAGAATACATTAATCTAATTAACTCTCCATCTTCAGTTGTAAACTTCCAACGTTGATTAACATTGTAGTGAACGGCTGGTGTAGTTAATGTTGCGCTGTAGTTACTTATTTCAACTTTTGTAACATTTGCATCAAAATTTTCACCCAACCATAAAACAATTTTTTGACCATTAAAACTACTTGGCATGGTAAAATTTTGAGTTGTTTTACTAACAGTTAAAGTTACTTTAAAGTTTCTTTTATCATAATTTAATTTTAATAGTACATTATTGTTTGTTGATATATATTTAGTTAGGCTAAAATTTCTGTTTCGCCAATGGTAAAAAACAATACATAAACTATATTTCGAAGAATGCGATGGAGAAAAAGTAACATCGTAACCATTAACATTTAAGCCATCTTTTCTTATATCACTTAGGTCTTTATTAGGTGGTAGTGTAATATTAGGTTTTAAAGAATTAATAATAACTCCAGATGAACCTATATTTATTCCGTAACTATCCGCATCAGCAAAGTCATAAAATTCTTCAAAATATTGTCTATAAACATTGTTTGTAGTAAAAGGATAAATTTCTTTTACCATTTCAACTGTTGCAGCACTATTATTATTGTTTTTGTCAAGAGCAATGTTTAATATCTTCTTGTTATTTGCATTAATATCAACATTATAAACCACTTCTGTTGGTTTGATGTCAAATGCTGTGTGATAATCGTAAACTTTATCTGGATCAATGTTACTAAACGTTCCCATAATACCATAAGTAATTATATAAACACCTGTAAAACATTTTGGATACTTAGAGAGGTCACTTCCTACTTGAGGAATATTAACCAAAATGTGAAGAAAAAACTTATTACCAGATGACAACTTTTTAAAATTAACTATTATTTTATGGTAATACATAAATTTTTGATGATTACTTGCGTCTGTGTAACTGTGATAATGCTTACTTACACCAACATTTCCTATTGTCAATCCTGTTGAACTTCCTTTATCAACACTTATTTGAGTTTTATTCCATAAAGTTTGATCTGTGTTTAGTATTTCCATACATAATGTGTAATCCGTATTACCTATTAACCTGTAAAAGTTAATTCCCATTTTGTACTTATACCCTCCAGGAAGATATCGTCTATTAGGAGCGGGGGTCCATTGATGATTGGTTTTTTTTAATGTCATAAATATTGCTTTATGATTATAGTCATGAAAATTAGCTTCAGAAGGAGATAAGTCTCCTATTTTTCTTATAATAAAACTCGTTCCACCATCTATTTCATCAGTCCATTGAGAAGCACTTGACATAATATAGCTTAATTCATCTTTATAATGAGTTGGTGGAACTACAGTTTTTTGAATTTGTTTGTCGACGTAATCTTTGGTTACCGCATCACTGTTTTGTAGTGGTTTACCAATATTTGTTATTTTATTACTACCAAGATTAAGTTCTCCAGTCAATGATACACTTCCATCTTTTTTTAAATACCCACTTAAATCTGGGCTACTTCCTCCAGCGTGGTCATCAACATATTTTTTGGTTGCAGCATCTGTGTTTGACACTGGTGTTGCGAGACCAACTATTTTATTACCACCAAGATTAAGGTTACCAGTCAGTGACGGTACCATCTTTTTCCAAGTAATCACTTAAATCTGGGGCAGCTGTGTTGTCATCCACATATTTTTTAGTTGCGGCGTCTGTATTTAACACTGGAGTTGCAAGACCAACTATTTTTTGGTTTCCAAGATTTAGGTTACTAGTAATTGATACACTTCCGTCCTTTTTTATAAAAGAACTAGTATCAGGTATTGAGTCATCCACATATTTTTTGGTTGCAGCATCTGTGTTATTTGTTGGCGGTTTTAAATATATTATACCTTTATTATCCATGTTTAGATTATTAGTCGTTTTATTTGTTCCACCAACATGAAGATATTTCAAATCTGTAAAAGCTAATGGTGTTGGTTGTTTGGGGCCTGCTGGAGCTGGCAGATTTAATATTTGATTATTGTCCATATTAAGATTTCCTTTCATTGGGTAAGATCCATCTCTGTCAAGAAATGTGTTGTCTACGTAATATTTTGTTGCTGGATCTTTAGAATCCAGTGGTGTGATAAGATTTGTAATTCGATGATTATTCATATCAATGTTTGAGTCAACTGTTAGTCGTGATGTTTTGGGTGATCCACTGGAATTATCATCAACATATTTTTTTGTTGCCGCATCAGTATTAGCACTAGGTGCACCAACATTTGTCAGTTTTTTTCCATTCATATCATAATTTCCATCTGCGGTAAGACTAAAACCAACTCCTGGGGCACCCTGAATTCTTCGGGCAAAAGGATGATCAAACGATTGTTCGTTAAATATTCCCATTTATAATATAATTATAGTATTTTTATTGCAGGGGGGCGATAAAGTTTCTTGCAATACGTTTTTTTGGTTTATCAACATAAAGGAATGAATAGGGTTTTTTAGTTGCTGCTTTATAATCTTCTTTATTAACTCCTAACTCAGATGATATTCTGTTGGATTCCCTCGATGATGGAAATTCATAAAGGCAGTAATGAGAACAATTTAACCGTATATCCTTTGGAGTTTTGTAAAACGACTGACTGAGGTAAACCACCGAACAATTTTTATGCCGACCTTGAATGAAATAATCAATCAGTTGCCTCTGGTTTTTATCACAAACGTAATCATCAAATATCACAAGTTTTTGGTTGTCTTCATAATCCATTTCTGACACTGGGGTTATTTCATCATTACTAACATGAAGTATTTCATATTCCAATTTATGACTTAACTCCCTCATTTTCTGAATTAGCTTTTGATACTTATCCTGTTCTAGATTACGCGCGTAAAGATAAATCTCGTCATAGTACAGTAGTGGTTTAATTAACATATGATACAACAGATTAGTTTTTCCACTTCCACTGTTTCCACAAATTAACATCCGAAATGTTTCTGATGGCATGTAAGGATATAACTGTTAATATTTTTTATCTGGGTTGTCATTGGTATCATAGTTTGGTATTTCCATTTATATAAACGTTACATAATAATATCCTCTCATGCAGTATTCTTAAAATGGAGGGGGTCTTAGGGGGAACCGTAGGTTCCCCTTAATATAATGTATTAAATAAAATGGATATTGAAGAATACAAAAAACTTGCAAGAAATAAACTTGAAGCTGATGCTTTGACTAAACAGGTGAGAGATGTAATAAAATTAACAAAATGGCAAAAACAAGATGCTCGGGAAGGTTTTAAAGAAACATTTAAACCACTTATTAAATCTCAAGATAGCATTAAAAAAAGTATTGATAAACAGCAAGACTCATTAATAAAACAACTTCAAGCCAATCAACTTGCTCTTACACAAGGTCTTAATCGAAACAGACTTGCTATAACTGAAGGATTTGATAAAATGGATGAGGTAAAATAATGGGAATTGTCGCAATTACCAGGTTTTGAAGCAATTGAAGAACCTAAAGAAGATGAGGGACCAAAAATAGCAAAATTTAAACCTGAAGCCCTCGATAGATATTTAATGAATAAACAAGCACAAGACTTACTAAAAATTAATGAATATCACAAACTCCCTTCTGAGTATTTTGAAGAGGATGTTTCTACCATTGATAAAGTAATTGATGATGTTAACGATGATTTAAAAATTACAGGTCAAGCAATAAAAAATACTGCAATTTTTGTACGTGACCCAAACGGTTATGTTTTAGCTAAACCAATAAGTCAAAATCCACATGAAAACACAATAAATTTTATAAATAGATATAATGTATTAAGCATAAATGCATCAAATTTAAGTAATCTTAAGTATTATAAAACAAAATCTGGCTCTGGAATGATTTACCTTAACAACCCAAATCAACTTCTAGACAGACTTGAATTACTCGGTGGTTCAATTCTTGCTGGGAATAATGGTGTAATACCTGAGTTTTCTCAAATAGCGCATCTTCTCAATCAAATGAAAGTAATCTCAAAAAAACAACTTAATGACTTACTAAAAAATTATATACCAATTAATTAAAATGGAAGAACAAGCTATCCACATTTCCTCAGTAAATCGACAAAAAAGAGGAACAAATAGGCCTGGTGATTTTACAATAAAGTTTAATCCATCTTTGAAACTTGACCCTGAAATGAAACACGAACTTGCTCTTGATCGGTTGTCTATGACTTACTCTTGGTACAACATTAGAAGTGATTATGACAACAATAAAATCAAATACACACATGATGGAAGGACTTGGCAGACAATTACTTTTACAGATGGAATGTATTCCTACTCAGATATTAATGATTACATTCATCAATATATGGCTCAAAAAAGTCATCACACAACAAATTCCAAAGGAGAAAAGAAGTATTCAATCAATCTAACTTTTATTCTCTCCACATATCGAGTTTTAATTTCAATTGATGGTGATTATCAACTTGATCTAAGAGGAACAGAATTTGGAGACCTAATTGGATTTGAAAAGAAACTTATTACAAAAACAGAGTATGGAACAAAACTACCAAATATCACAAATTCGATTGATGTGTTGAATATTAACACAAGCGCAATAACTAATAGCATTGTAAATGGAATAAATACAAATACTATTGCTGTGATACCAACTGATAATCTCACAAGATCTTTTCCATTTACGTTTGAGCCTAGAAGACCATTGTATTGCTCTGTCTCTTCATTTGACATTTCTGAGATGAGAATATATGTAACAGACTCGCTTGGGCGACCAGTAAATTTTAACGGTATTGATTGGTTTATGACTTTGATACTCCGTAACACCCCCCTCCCTTAATTTATAAGAATATTGCAGGGGGTCTTAGGGGGGTGCAACCCCTTAATTTGTATAACTATTAAAATAAAATGATGCGGCAATCAGAGTTTAAAATGAAACTTGACCCTGAATTGGGTAGATATACAAGACAACATATTTATGGAGAAGGAATGATGGATGTGTTTAAATCGTTTGGTTCAAAAATATTTGGAAAGACAATGAAAAAAGCTGCTAAAAAGGGTGCTGAAAAAGCAGTGACAGCAGCTGCAACAAAAACTGGTGAACATGTTGGTAAAAAGGCTGGTGATAAGATAGTGCAAATGTTATCCAACAGGGGGGTTGCACGCCCCCGAAACCCCCCTGCTAAAAAAGTTACTTTTAATGAAAATCCAAGTGAAAAAGAGTTAAATCAAAGTTTAATTAACCTTCTTAGTGGAGGATCAACACGTAAGAGAAAATTATATAATTATTAAAATAAAATGAAGTCTTTTAGAAATCCAAAATATTTAGAAAGATATGAGGATGTTGTTTATGACCTGGAACAGGCTCTAGATACAGCCCCAGGAAATAACGCGCACCAAACTAAAACAGGTCTTAGATTTGTTGCTGATAACACAGGAGAAACTACTCCTTTTGATTGGTATAACGCCAGACTATCAATGGATTTTAAAGTAAATAAGCTGGCAGATGGAGGAAATATTGCAGTTGCTGACCATAACGGAATTGTAAATGGTAGTAACTCCTTTATAAAAAAATTAAGTATCCAGGCAAATGGAAGAGAAGTTTATAGTTGTAATTATGCAAATCATGTTGTAAATATTAAAAATTTGCTTGAGTATAATCCTTCATATGTTCAAAGTGTTGCTACAAACGAATTTTATTTTCTTGATACATCAAGAGCTGCAGAGGAAAGACCTGCTCAAGCAACTTATAATAAAGGTTTTCATCAAAGGAAATTACTATTAGGTGCATCAGCCACAGTAAACTGTGAAATTCCTCTTAACAGATATTCTTTCTTTGAAGCACTGGAAGATAAGCTACTTCCAAATACAAAAATTGAGCGAAATATCGAAATTGAAAAAGATGCAAATTTAATTTCTAAAGCTGCTGATAATTGTAGAGTTATTATAACAAGACTACAACTTTTTATTCCAAAACTTACTTTTAATTCAGAAGGACAAAAGTTGTATATGGAAAATTATCTTAAACCTTACAAATGGTTTTTATATGAATGAAGTAATTGAAAGGTCAAATAATTCACAGCAACAGACAGGACATTTTAGAATTACAAATGCTATTTCAAAACCAAGGCATGTATTTGTTTTTGGAATTAACACAGCAAGAATTGATGCACAAACAGCAAATCCATTTTTATACGACACTTTTGATCTGCCAAATAATGCTAATATATCAAGATGTTACCTGGAAGTTGCAAATGGAAACGAATATCCAGATATTCATTTTAAACCTTCTACAGATATGACAAGAGTTTTTAGAAATGTAATGTCATACGTATATGCAAATAATGATTATCAAGGTGGAACATTACTTAATAGAGGTAATTTTAAATATTTATTTCCTTTTGTTTATTTTGACCTAACAAAACAAAAAATGGATATCAAAGATGGGGTTACAAAACTAGCATTTCATTACGAATTATCTGCTAATCCAGACGCTGATTATAATATTTACGCATTAGTCTTACATGAAAGAATAGCCGAAATATCACAACAAGATGGCAAACTATTGCTAAGAGCATAGACCCCTCCCTTTGCTAAGCTACATATGATTTAATATAACCACTTAAATAAAAATGGCTAATTATATTGAATATGGTGTAACACTTACAGATGGGCAAAAGTCAAAACTGGCTTCTGCAATATTAAATAAATCACCACTAACTCTTCGTTTAAAACATTCTCATCTTCGAGGTTCTGATGAGTTAATGTTGACAAAAAGACAAATTGCTAAAATAAAAAAATCTATTGCAAATGGCACAGGATCAGATATAAAAATAAGTAAAACACAAATTACAAAATCTGTGAAACATGGTGGAAACTTATTTACTTCACTCGCATCTCTTGGAGCAAGAGTACTGCCATATGCAATAAAAGGAATTTCAAAAGCTGTTCCTGCATTGGCAACTGGTGCTGCGACTGCACTTGGAGAACTTGGAATAAATAAAATATTTGGAAGTGGCAACCCCCTCCCTTTAAAAGAAATAATAATACCAAAAAAGTTTATCCCAATGTTCCAACCTTTTAAAGGAGAATTTACCAAATCACAACGAGACCAAATTAACAAAGCTTATCAAACAGGAGGACGACTGGTTATTAAACCAACTCTTAAACAGATAGAAGGAGGATTTCTTGGAACTCTTGCATCTATTGGAATTCCAATGGCTATAAGTTTAGTATCAAAGATGTTTGGTGGCGGAACCTACACCCCCCTCCCTTTAAATAGTAAGGGGCTTCAAGTTGATAGACATGGATCATCTAATACAGCAAATGTTTACGTTCCACCACCACCTAGAAGTGGTAAAGGTTATCCTTATTACCCACCACCCTTTTCAGGTACATGGGAAAACCCAATTGGAATGGGAGTTAAAAAAAAAAGTCCAAGTCCAAAGGAAAAGGACTTCTTCTAGGAAAAAACAGCCCATTCAACTCAATTCCATTAATAGGGGCAATTTTGTAAACCCCTCCCTTAATAAGAAATTTGTAATTAAACCTCTATCCAACTTTGACTTGATTGATTGGGTAAAGAAACTTGGTATTAAACATTTTAGAGGAATTTACAGTCGTGATGGACTACCTCATAAGATAAGAAAAGAATGTGGAATAATCAATCTAGATGATATTCAAGGTCCTGGTACACACTGGGTTTGTTATAGAAATCTAGCCCCTGCTACTTGGAATAAAAATGGTGTTGTTGAGTACTTCGATCTATTTGGTTTAATAATGCCAAATGAAGCTTTAAAGTATTTTCGTACTTCCGGAAAACGCATAGTTTACTCAATGGATGAAATACAAAATCGCAATACTGTTCTTTGTGGTTATTGGTGTTTATATTATCTCTTTGAACGACAAAAAGGTAATAGTATTCTTGATGTAACACATAACCCGCATTTTGACAACGACAACAGTGATTTTATAAAAGAGTATTTTGGAGGATAAAAATAATATTTAATAAATATTATTTTTTTACTCTTTATTTACAAAACATATATTTTAAAACATTCAGTATTATATTTTAAATTTTCTAAACTGTCTTAAAGATTAAAAAGTTTTTCTAATTTAGTATTTCTAATTTCGTTATATTTTAAGAGATTAAAAAAAAATCTCTTTCTCCTATTTCTATTATTCTAGAAAACTCGTCATTTTTTCGAAGTTCCTCTATCTCTTTATAAATATTAATTCGAATTTTATCCCTATTATCTTCTAGTGACTGACTCTTAAATTTTTTAACTAGATTAATAAGACTTTCTTCCATTATCTATATTACTTTTTTGAATCTTTAAATCAATTTATTCTCCATCATCTGGTAAATTCTTTAGCTGTTTAACACTCTCAACTTTTACACTTAAATCTTTAACACTATCAACTATTTCATCAAATTTCGAGTAAATATTAATAAGTCTAAAAAGTTTCTTCTTTTTATCACTACTTATTTTCAACCAAGAATAGTCCTCATCTCTGATTTTCCCCCACATCTCACATTCACCAGCCATTAGTATTCTAGAAAGATTATCATTTTTCTTTCTAAGAATCTCAAACTCATTATTTATTTGTGTTCATACATCTTTCTCAAAATCTTTTAATGTTTTAACATCCATCTTTTTTTCTATTTCAGCAAAAAATTTGGCTTCCATTTATTATATAAATAGATAATTGCCTTTTACAACTTTATTAAGTGTACTTGATTTTTCACTTATTTCCATAAGTAACTCAAATACTTTTATAAATCTAGTGTCATTTTCCAATCTAGCAAAATCAGCATATTCATAACTCATATTTAAATTATTGTATATCTTTTGAAGTTCACTTTTTAAAAATTAGATCTAGTAGACATATTTATCTAAACATTATACTAAATGGAAGAATCTTATTGCATTGTAGATAAAAGAGTAACTCCTTGTACAGAGCCAAGTGGTTACCAAACAGATAAAAGAGGACGTACTCAATTTTATTGTAGATGCGCTGTTTGTGGAAATAAAAAAGTTAGATATGTAAAAAAAAAACTAAACAGCCCGTCTGAAGGGGCGGGCGTTTTTGATACTGTTGTTGGTACAGCAGTTGATGGATTTGTTCATTATGGTTTACCTTGGATGGGTAAAAAAGCAGTTGAAATGGGGCGATATGGAGCAAGTGAGTTAATGAGAAATAAAAATCTTCAAAAGAAAGCTGTAAATTATGGAATTAGTAAACTTACTCCATTTATTCAAGATTCTGTTGGAACAGCAATGGACCAGTTATCAACAAAAGTGAGACCAAAAAATAAATATAAAACTGATAGACCATAATTAGATGGAAAAGGAATTGATGTTCACAAATGGATTGGAAAACTCCCAAAACCAAAAGCAGGATGGACCCAGGTTCGTATAAATATATGGGTCCCTACAATCCTCTAGACAAACAATTAAGTTATAATCCTGAAACCGGAGAAGTTACAGAGTGGAAAGTTAAACCGTATAACAAAGTTGATGAAATAGCAGCTTATCACGACATTTGTTACGACATGGGAAAAAACAAAGGCGATTGCGACAGAGAAATGGTAAAATCATTAGATGATATACCCTATGGTGAAATGCCAAAGTGGGGCTCAACTGCTAGATTTTTGATTAATACAAAACAAAAACTTGGTCTTGGTTTAAACGCGCGTCGGCGTTGAGTAGTGATTGGTCTCAACAATTAGCCGATGAACTTCACAAACCAATCACAAGAAACTTTCAAAAGAGATCAGTGGTGTCAAACGGGATTGATGATATCTGGGCTGCTGATTTAGTTGAAATGCAAAAGTTTAGTAAGTGGAACAAAGGGATTAAATATTTGTTGATGGTGATAGATGTGTTTAGCAAGTATGGATGGATTAGGGGATTAAAAGACAAGAAAACTGAAACTGTTAGTAAAGCATTTGATGACATATTTAAATCAAGCAAACGTCTTCCAAAGATGTTATGGACTGATAAAGGTTCTGAGTTTATTAGTAAGCATTTCAAAGAGTTTCTGAAAAGAGAGGGAATAACGCTGTATCACACTGAAAATGAAGAAAAATCTAGTGTTGTTAAGCGATGGAATAAAACAATGAAGATGAGAATGTGGAAGATGTTTACTGTAAATAACAACACTGTTTACTGGGATAAGATTAATAAACTAGTTGATGATTACAATAATGCTAGGCATTCCAGTGTAAAAATGACTCCTGTTGAAGCGAGTAAAAAGAAAAATGAGAATAAAGTTTGGGCTAATTTGTACGGCGATTCTATTTACTTGAAACCTGGTAAACCAGCGTTTTCTATTGGAGATAAAGTTAGAATTTCTAAGTATAAGAGAAGGGTGTTTGATAAAGGTTACACACCAAACTGGACAGAGGAGTTATTTGTAATTGATAAAGTTAACCCAACAAAATCTGTTACGTATAGTATTGCTGATTTGACAGGAGAAGAGATTAAGGGATCTTTTTACGAACAAGAATTACAGAAAGCAAAACAGCAGACATTTAGAATAGAAAAGGTTATCAAACGAGATAACAAAAAGAAAATGTCATTAGTAAAATGGAGTGGATATCCTGATAAATTTAACTCATGGGTGAGTTCTAAGGATTTCGTTAATTTTTAATACAAAATTTGTATTAAAAATAAATCCTAATATTACTCAGTTACTTCTTTATCTGAAATAACTAAATCTTCAATATTTTCCTCAGTATCACTTACTTCACTCGCTTCGCTATCACTTACTTTTAATTTTTCTTCACTTGCTTCATCCTCTTCTTCAATTGTTAACAAAGACTCTCTGGGTTTTAATTCTTTAATATAACACTCATGTACTTTAATTTGTAAAGATGTAACAGTTTTGCTAATAAATATTCCTTCAATAATCAAAGCCATTTTAACATTACAATACTGGTTAAGATAATTAAAAGGATTAACTTTTTTCTTACCTTTCACATGAAAAAGTGAAAGAATTTTTTTTAGTTTTTCCGAGTAAATAAGTTTTGCATAAAGAACTGGTGCAGCTGAGGGGTCTATTTTTGTTTTCTTTTTGCCTTTTTTGTCTGTATATTCAATCTGTTTATAGTATAATGGTTCAGATAAAGAAGAAGCAAGATCAGGTCCATATTCTTCTTCTAAATATTTTTGACAAATGTCTGTAAGTTTGCATAAAAATTTATAAAATTGGTCTTCCTTCAAATTTGGGCTGGAATCTTTTTCCCATAAGCAAACTGGAATGCTATAACCTACTAACTTGTTTGTATTTTGGTCTTTCTTTTCATTTACTCCAAAAGAAAAAAGAAACGGAGTTTCAATAACTAAACTACCTTTTTTTCCATTTGGATAAACTGTTTCGATAGGAATTCGTTTGTATTTAATTTTCGAATCTTTAATATTATACTCTTTTGCTTCATTAAAAATGATACTTTGTGGATTTAAATCTTGAATACTAGTAAGTTGCATTTTATTAATAGTTGTTAAATCTTTAAATCATAATTTTAAAAAAATTCAATTTTATTTTCCCTCCTCCCTTTATAAGAATATAAGAGTTTTATATCATTTTTTGATATAAAACTAAAGGATAATTAATCACTATCACTATCACTATCACTATCACTATCACTATCAAAATTAATATCGCTACCAATATCACTACCAAGACCATTTTTAAAATATAAAAATTGTTTTAATTCATCTTTACTATAATAATCATCAGTTTCACTTTCACTTTCACTTTCACTATCTTCATAATCAAAAATACTTTCTTTTTCACTCTCTGGAAAAATATATGTTTTTTTATACTTAATTACTTCATTGTAATAACTCAAAGTATCTATCAATTTTCTTAATCCTGGATAATCTTTGTCAATATTATTTTCATATTTTTTTTTTATTTATTTTACTAATTCCAGTCGGATTGATATTAAGATATCGATCTAAATATTCACTTACTATCATTTCTATATGTTCAATTTTAGAAAAAGCTTCAAAATTTATTTCTTCTTCTGATCAGAATCAATACCTTCTTTATACTTTTTTATATAAATATTTATTTTATTAATCCATCCGCTTCTTTTTTTCAATCTTCCATTTTCGACATCAATAAAATACAAATCTTTATTTAAATATGAAAATGATTCATCAATGCCTAATAAAAAGATATATTCCTTTTTAAAAGACTTTGCGTAATCTGGGATAGCTTTGCAGTTCATTATACTTTATTATATTTATTTCTTTAAATTTCAATTTTATTTTTTCTGACTCGAATCATTTATAGAGTAGTTATAGAATGATTACCTGGGCTCACTTTTCAAACATTTTTTTCTATCATTTTCTGCGAGCGAGTAAAACGAGCGAGCGATTAAGTTTCATCCAATTTAAAAAATTTTCTGATTTTTTTTCTGTTTTCTATTTGTACATTTTGAGAATTTTATTATTTTTTCGTGAGTCAGAAATAAATGACGGAAAGAGTACAAAGAAATATGACGGAAATAACCAGAAATTTATTTCAAATGACGGTTTTAATCAAGAAAATGATAGAAAAAAGTGTTGGAAAAGTGAGTCCCAAGGCATCATTTTATAACTACTGTAGTGGATAATATTTATCAGATGAAAACAAGTTCTTACAAATAATTATTAGAGGAATATCGCTTATCATAATAATTTGAGGCTAATTTTATTCCCTGTGGTTGATGTTCTGTTCCATTAGTAAGGATATTTTTTGTCACACCTACATTGGGAGTGATGTGTACGTGTTATCCAACGACCATTTGCCAATAGTATCAATTGAATCTAGAAAAAGTATATTTGAAGTATACCACTCAAACAGAGTTACGTTTTACCTGTACCAACCTTAGATCATTATGAACCAGCTAGTGTTGACTTGTACTTTCATACCCAATGTAAATTCTTATACGCGTATGAATTTCGTTAGTTTCACATTGTATGTGCTTTTTATTTAAAGGCATATATTTTGTGGTACATGCAGTACCCTGCAGAGACCAATGGAACTTTCTTTTTATTTATCTTACTTTTTATTGTACAGTGTATATTAAAGATAATAAAGTCATTTTATTCTTGAAATTTTGGTTGGTGTCTAAATTGTTTGTCAGTCATTTATGGTACCAAATAAAAATAAGAAACATGTGGATAATGATGTTTTGATCAAATTTGCTATCTTGAGCGAAAGTGTAAAAAAGTGATATTTTAATCAACTTTGTTTACCTGACTTAAAGTATGGAAAACTACTATCATGGCAATATTTGCCATCCTGAGCACAGGTACAGAAGAAATGATATTTGACCAACTTTGCTACAATGGGCAAAAGTATGGGAAACTACTGTTTTGATCATATCTGCCGTCCTGAGAAAAATTGAGAATAAAGTGGTATTTGGCCAAATTTACTACCCTGAGCAAAACAGTGGCAAACGACTATTTTAATCATATTTGCCACACTGAGCAAAGATATGGAAGAAGTAATAATTTGACCTCATTTACTACACTGACCGAAACACAAATAAGGTGAATTTTTCCTCAGATTTACTATCCTGGGCAAAACTGTTGAGAAATGAGTTTTGGTCACTTTTGCTACATTGAGCAAAAATGTGGGAAATTACTACTTTGACCGAATTTGCTATAGAGAGCAAAAGCGTTCAAAAATTCATCTTCGATCGCTTTTGCCCATTTGGGCAAAAACCTGACAAATGTCAGTTTTGCTATCAAGTTTGACACCCCTTTAAATGCCTTGATAAAGTAAAGGTTATCCTTGTTTTGACACACGGGGCTGAGGCAAATGCGGCATTTACCACCTTTGCCATTAATGCAAAATCATGGCAAATTTGGTCCTACGTCATGAGGCAAAATTGAGCAAAATTAAGCAAATGTGGCATTTGCAGATGGTTTGCTCCAAATTTGCTATAGAGGTAAATCCGTTTTTTCGTCCAGTTCTACAACAGAGTTCAAAAATGAATTATTTCATATATACTTCAAAACTTTATAAAGCATTTATATTACCTCATCTCGAATACTGCAGTCCTTTGTTTGTAGGCATAGGTACAGGTCAACGCAACCGTCTCGAAGATGGCAACTGTTATATTTTGAGAACATTAATCGGGGAAAACAAGTCAATGTCATACGACGAGCTGCTCACTACGGCTAGCATGAAATCCTTATATTGTAGGCCCTTACACCAGGCGTTAATACTTCTTTTTAAAAGCCTTTTTAAATACAGGCATACACCGTATAGGCTAAGAGGCGAGGGCTTGAATTTGGAATTACCTAACTTTAATCTTAAATTTAAGAAGAATTCTTTCACTTATTCATTAACTAAGTTATGGAACAGTTTTCATTTACTCCAAAAGAAAAAAGAAACGGAGTTTCAATAACTAAACTACCTTTTTTTCCATTTGGATAAACTGTTTCGATAGGAATTCGTTTGTATTTAATTTTCGAATCTTTAATATTATACTCTTTTGCTTCATTAAAAATGATACTTTGTGGATTTAAATCTTGAATACTAGTAAGTTGCATTTTATTAATAGTTGTTAAATCTTTAAATCATAATTTTAAAAAAATTCAATTTTATTTTCCCTCCTCCCTTTATAAGAATATAAGAGTTTTATATCATTTTTTGATATAAAACTAAAGGATAATTAATCACTATCACTATCACTATCACTATCACTATCACTATCAAAATTAATATCGCTACCAATATCACTACCAAGACCATTTTTAAAATATAAAAATTGTTTTAATTCATCTTTACTATAATAATCATCAGTTTCACTTTCACTTTCACTTTCACTATCTTCATAATCAAAAATACTTTCTTTTTCACTCTCTGGAAAAATATATGTTTTTTTATACTTAATTACTTCATTGTAATAACTCAAAGTATCTATCAATTTTCTTAATCCTGGATAATCTTTGTCAATATTATTTTCATATTTTTTTTTTATTTATTTTACTAATTCCAGTCGGATTGATATTAAGATATCGATCTAAATATTCACTTACTATCATTTCTATATGTTCAATTTTAGAAAAAGCTTCAAAATTTATTTCTTCTTCTGATCAGAATCAATACCTTCTTTATACTTTTTTATATAAATATTTATTTTATTAATCCATCCGCTTCTTTTTTTCAATCTTCCATTTTCGACATCAATAAAATACAAATCTTTATTTAAATATGAAAATGATTCATCAATGCCTAATAAAAAGATATATTCCTTTTTAAAAGACTTTGCGTAATCTGGGATAGCTTTGCAGTTCATTATACTTTATTATATTTATTTCTTTAAATTTCAATTTTATTTTTTCTGACTCGAATCATTTATAGAGTAGTTATAGAATGATTACCTGGGCTCACTTTTCAAACATTTTTTTCTATCATTTTCTGCGAGCGAGTAAAACGAGCGAGCGATTAAGTTTCATCCAATTTAAAAAATTTTCTGATTTTTTTTCTGTTTTCTATTTGTACATTTTGAGAATTTTATTATTTTTTCGTGAGTCAGAAATAAATGACGGAAAGAGTACAAAGAAATATGACGGAAATAACCAGAAATTTATTTCAAATGACGGTTTTAATCAAGAAAATGATAGAAAAAAGTGTTGGAAAAGTGAGTCCCAAGGCATCATTTTATAACTACTGTAGTGGATAATATTTATCAGATGAAAACAAGTTCTTACAAATAATTATTAGAGGAATATCGCTTATCATAATAATTTGAGGCTAATTTTATTCCCTGTGGTTGATGTTCTGTTCCATTAGTAAGGATATTTTTTGTCACACCTACATTGGGAGTGATGTGTACGTGTTATCCAACGACCATTTGCCAATAGTATCAATTGAATCTAGAAAAAGTATATTTGAAGTATACCACTCAAACAGAGTTACGTTTTACCTGTACCAACCTTAGATCATTATGAACCAGCTAGTGTTGACTTGTACTTTCATACCCAATGTAAATTCTTATACGCGTATGAATTTCGTTAGTTTCACATTGTATGTGCTTTTTATTTAAAGGCATATATTTTGTGGTACATGCAGTACCCTGCAGAGACCAATGGAACTTTCTTTTTATTTATCTTACTTTTTATTGTACAGTGTATATTAAAGATAATAAAGTCATTTTATTCTTGAAATTTTGGTTGGTGTCTAAATTGTTTGTCAGTCATTTATGGTACCAAATAAAAATAAGAAACATGTGGATAATGATGTTTTGATCAAATTTGCTATCTTGAGCGAAAGTGTAAAAAAGTGATATTTTAATCAACTTTGTTTACCTGACTTAAAGTATGGAAAACTACTATCATGGCAATATTTGCCATCCTGAGCACAGGTACAGAAGAAATGATATTTGACCAACTTTGCTACAATGGGCAAAAGTATGGGAAACTACTGTTTTGATCATATCTGCCGTCCTGAGAAAAATTGAGAATAAAGTGGTATTTGGCCA